TGTCCCGTCGCTAAATGCGTGAACGTGGATTGTAACAATGACTCACAGCAGCAGTTGCGTGTGTGTGTGTGTGTGTGTGTCGATGCACCAATTTTGGATTCGAGAGCATTCTGCACGAGGCCAGACAACCGGTGGGCGCGCGTGGCAGTCATTGTTTTTTTCTACCCGAGCGTCTCTCTTCGCCCTTCTCCAAATCACCGACATGCATACACACACGTGACACATGTTGCAGACACGTGGGACTTGTCTACCGCCTTCCGCGTGCATCGGTGCCCACTAAACACATGCGGGCGATTAGCTAATCTGGAGGTGATTGGTTTTGCCAAATGCACAGTTTGTTTGCTTATCAAGGGACACGTGTGTTTCGCATTGGGCTCACCTCCTCCCTCTCCCCAAGAAACCCTAAGATCACATTCACGCTTATTCAGATTCCCACAGTCGTCAACACTACTGTGTCTTTCCATGAGCTTCTTCATTTGCCATGGTCTTTTGTACTGAATCTGCGTTTTACTGCTACAGCCATAACTTTACCCTGACCCATAGACAACCATTCTTGGCACTTTAATCACTCACCATCCGTATGGATATTTTCTGACTATGTGATTTGTTGGTGAATGGGGTTGGCATCTTTCGGTTAAACTTACTACCAAATTAAACTGAAATATCACGATTGAACACTAATACGCAGCTAGCCGCACTAGCCTGGGAGTTAAAACTGCGAATGGTCATATTCAAAGATATTACATAGTTATTCATACAGTAGGTTTTCATTTGGCGTTTTAGTCTATTGAAGTCTCGGACACTCCGAATTACATTAACCTTCGGATCTATTTCGAAACAGTAGCCTATATCTGTAAACAATGTTTCATTTTTCAGACCATACCCAGTCAATGTAAGTCGCTAAGCAAAGGACGAATCCCACACAGTTTTGGCAGGTCTGTATTTCTTGAACGTGTTCGTCAAGCTCAAAACCAAAAGGCGGTCCGTAGCTGGGCGATTAGAGTACATACTTGCGTGAAGGTAACCGGGTGGGTTGGAGAACCTCATGGTGGCGATAGTTCGTATGTCAGCCACCATAGGAAAACAGTAGAACAGTGGAGACAGGAAGAAACGGAGCCGCTTACTTGAGCACTCTGATTTACTGTTCTAAGTTTACGTGGAGGTAGACTTGCGAGTGCTTAGTGAACCGGCTGTCAAATAACAATTAGTCTCCAACTAATCTCTCAAACGTAGTTCTTCTTTTCGCTTTTAGAACTTAACAAGATGTGATTTTGGAGATGCAGAGCCCAATCAGCCCGAGGAATCAAGCGACACAAATCAGGCGAAGCCACCCAAACGGCCACACATAAAGAGGCCCATGAACGCTTTCATGGTGTGGGCCCGAGAGGAACGTCGCAAGATTCTTAAAGTAAGTATAAAATGCATGAAGCAGTTCTTACAAGACAAATTTCACTTAGAGCTATGCAAACGATTACATATTTGCGAGTTTGAACAAAACACTTAGCTGACATGGCTTCTAAAATGGTACTGTTTATTCTCACCCTATAAACCGAAATAAAAGAAAACGCTATAAAGCGGACAATAGGGCAGTTTTTGAGGTGCAGTCCATTTTTCTCTGCTCTTTCAGGCATGTCCAGACATGCACAATAGCAACATTTCGAAGATCCTAGGCGCCAGGTGGAAAGCAATGTCCGCAGAGGAGAAACGGCCCTATTATGAAGAACAGTCACGGTTGAGCAGAAAACACATGGAGGATCACCCCGATTATCGATATCGCCCACGGCCCAAACGCACCTGCATTGTGGATGGCAGGAAGCTGCGCATTTCTGAGTACAAGGAGTTGATGCGTAGTAGACGTGGTGAAAATCGGAAGCAGTGGTTTGGTAATGGAGACACCCAACGGATTGTGGAAAGCCTTCTCGGTAAATACCTGTGTTTATAACATGCGATAAAACGACGCGCTAACTATTACGATGGAAAAATTGGAACTATTGTTCTCATAAGACGTCTTGGATGTCAAAATGTCGATACTAAATCTGAATGGCAGACTGAGAATTAATTTTACGTCAAAACTGGTTATGAAGGCTTTTATGTGTTTTCAAGCATTCTACATTAATCCATATTTATGTTAAAATCACAGGTTTAGGATAATTTTAACAGTACATGCATCAGAATTGTCATTTTCGTCAAGTTTCCAGTTTGTAGAATGAGCGAGCTTATTTATTTTGCCAACCATATGAAAAAGCAAAATTAAAAGGTATTCTTATAATACTAAGATCGAAAATGAGTACAAACTCCTAAATAATTTTAAATTTTTAGACTGAACCTATTTAGTATCATGGCAGGTAATTTACAATGTGTAAAGTAAATGGGTTTATTAATGTTACTGATGAAGAATTAATCTGCATGCAGATATTGTGTAATTTAATTTTTAGTAGGATATTGATTGAAACTACATGTTATTAAGTGTTGTAGGTTTTTTATTTATATAAAAGTAAGACTTAATTGATTAAAAAAATTTGTGCATTTTATATTTGTTTTAATAGGTAGACGCAGCCCTGTGTCCTTTAAACTTTTCGTGTGTGCCGCAGTAATTGCGCTCGGTAAATTTTGGGGTGGTCTGTAGCTGGTCTCTTGTTCTCAATCTCCTTCTGTTAGTTTGAAAGTCGATTTTTAGAATACGGTGTATCTTCTGCACACTTAAATGACCCAATCGGCCAACTATACGTCCCTTTCTATTCACGTCTTCTTTCGGCGTACTTTTATGCCCTCTTGCACTGTATACGTTAGTTCGGAACACTACAGGCGCCCTATATTTTCATTCTTGTATCGCAGTGTCAAATTGCAACCATGATGGTAAAGTCATCTCTGAATGACAGTTTGACAGTAACTGCACCTTCTGAATTTCCTCTCTGGGGGCACGTTACACCAGCTTGTGGTTGATTAAGTGAAGTCGTATATCGCTTTATCACGAGATATCCACACTTTGATGCTTTATCTTCTCGTCCCAGCGTCCTCTGGTTTGATTATAGAACATACAGCACAAGCGTCAATCATTAATGTCAACCCAATTCCGAGTTCTTATTTGTCATCGTGTAAATTCAGTCTTGCTTGTACTCAACTAATCACCTAATATACATTGCATACTCTTTCTTATCATAATTTGTTTCATTTAATCTTTCTGAATAACTCGGTATTCATTTTAGGAGCTTTGATTGCTCGCTGCGAATTATTTTGCTCCTCTCAAATCGTTCTTAAAAACACAAGGTGCTGGTGCAATGTCCTATTTTCGCGTTCAAGTATCACTTATCATTCATATTTACTGTGTAGAATTGGAGAATATTTGCTCACCGCTGGTTATTATATGACGCGTTCATGCAGTGCCCCATGTTGTCGGGTGAATGGTTGGCCACATTTCTTACTGGTTCTAGAAAACGAATATTTGATCCGCATGGAGATTGTGGTGACAGCATCATTGCCTTCAACAGTAGGCATATCGCGGCAAAAGACAACAGTTTGTATTGGCGACGCTTCCTTTACACGCATCATACCAGGCATGCGTTCCTTAGCTGTATTATTTCTTTAGATTCGGGCCCTATCGCGTTGAAGAAACAATGGCAGAATTACATGCCAGGGACCCGACCGAGGTCAGCATCACATGTTTCCGTCTTCATTCATCTCTCATTACAACGGCCCGTGGCCCTTGTATTGAGCGACCTATTTGCTTAAGATGGTCAATGTCTACCGCTGAAACACTTGTAGGTCCTCAGGCGTGAAGTTCGGGCCCACTTAAGAAACTGCGCTTCTCGGCCAGACTGGCTTTCACGTCTACATATATTCCCAGATGGTATTGAGGTATATCTCGCAGTTTTTGTCGAGGCAATTTTGTTACAAGTATTGAGCTCGAATGACTCAACTAGTAGTTAGTCTCTTTAGTTAATTTATTTCAGTTGTTCGGATTGGTGACCTTAGATGGTATTGGTATCGTTTTTGAAATGCAGCTTTGCCACGTCTAAACCAATCTTGTGTTCAACGACGGGGTCACCAATGAGAAATGAGGCTTAACGTGATATACGTATACTGTTGAACAAGTCAAGGTATTTGGGGTTGTTCTTTTAATTCATTCACCTGTTTCTACGTCACAGACCGTACCTGAAGAGTTAATCAAAAATGTTTCCGGTGTTATACGGCAAGTGATGCCGGTCCCAAAACGACTCGACGCGTATACTGCGGAGGAAATCAGGACCTATCCCAAGCTGTTCGATTGGTACGTGTAATTAGTCTTATCAGCACTCTTACCTGGTGTGCACGACTCACCACCCAGCGACAGAATTAGCACCCACCTTCGAAATAAGACTAGTGCTAGTACCAATGGCTCATCTGGCACCCATACGACCGAGTTAAGGATTTGGTTAATGTCCCGCCGTGCTTAATGGCGCGGTCCTACTCTGCTGTGGGTGTGCGATGTCGCTAGACTCCCGTTCATGCATTACCTTGGGATATCTGAAAAGTTGTATCCTGTTACACCAGTTCTGACCATGTGATTAAGAATTATTCATTTGGGCATCAACAACCACGATTCTTTGTTTAATAGGCCAGAGGACTATGCAGTGCGACCAATCAGCCCACATACGAAGCCACGCGCCCGCGCTGGGAAAGTTCCCTCTTCGCCCATAATGGAAAACCAATAAACACTCCGGCACCTTTGTATTTTATTAACGGTTAATTTTGGACTATTTTGTTGCAGATTGCCCGAATAAGGTAGCGGTAGCATAGGCGTGTCATCCGCGAAGCCACAAACACGGTCAACTGTGATACAAAATTATGTTTTGAGCAGGCTTCCATGACCTACTAGATATAATGTATGGTTGGCCCCAACTTGAAGGGTCACCGATGGCCGGACAAGATAATGGTGAATTCTTTAAGGTCATTGCCAAGTACCAACTTTGCGGGCTTTGAACTACAGTCTTTAAACGCGTCCATAAACCGCTGTGTGCTGGCGTCGTACAGCCTCTAAAAGGATAAATGATTTAGTGAAAGAATGCTTCCAACTTAGGGCGCAGCTGGTGTACCAGTAGGTACTACCTTCGACTATTGAAATTAAGAGAATCTGTGTTGTGTGAGCGGTTCAGCACGTCTGTTATAGCCCTATGTGGTGTAGCAACAAAGGGACGAGAAATGTCGCAGTTATTTTATTGTCGTGAGTACAAGGTTCAAAATTACTAAAATAGAAATAGACCATGACTTGCTAGGATGCTTTTAAACGCGGTAGCGGGCTTGTGTCACAAATCTAGGTACTTACCTTTGTCATCGCAAACTTTTCTCTCTCTGAAATGGCAGCAGAGTTTGCAAGCTGTCTTAATTGTTTCGAAGGGAGGCGAACAGTGATCGTTACCTCATGCCCCTTGGCAGTGAATTCGGAGGCCTGTCGAATCTTGACACTCATCATATGATCATCAATGTTGGTTCGAAGCATCAACTGTTTGCCTTTAGACGCCGAAATTGAATTAGTAGCAGATGTGTCGTCAAAAGGTAATGGTTGGATTTGAAGGACTGGAAGAGTTGAGTGATTCTCGACCTATTGACATATTTAGGGTGCAAATCGAAACTCAGGCCCATAGGAAATAATGAGGATAATGAATTGGTCACAACAGTGTCAAGTGAGGGCATAGGGTGTTTTAAAGTTTCTTTGTATGAGACTACATGTGGAACGAAGTATTGGCGGTTTTGATTGGGCAACGGCGATTTCGGGTTACTTGACGGTGAGTTCGATTTCATCAAAATGGGTGGGTCCTCTACCAAGAGCATCTGTTAGAAAACCTAGTGCAGCCATAATTATCCTTCAATGCAAAAAAGTCTGTGTGCAAAGCCTACCACTTCAGTTACCTATTGGGTCTTTCCATTAATGGAAACATCGCAATCAGTTATACCACAAATCTGCTTTTTACGTATATACCTTAAGGGAATTTTGCTTGCATTGAATTCACGAAAGGAAGTTAATGGCCAAAGGTGTAAGCACCAGAGCAGTTCTTGATTCAATTCACAAAGGTGCTGATAATGTCTCAAATTGATTGTTGCAAACAATTTGACAGCATATAACGGAACAGCTTACTATTTTTATATCGACATTCTCCCTATGAAGAAGATTTCTAAGAAGAGACGACTCAGCCTCAATTGTTTCACCCTCTGAGTGGGGGAATTTAACCAGCACACTTTTCGGGAGATCAGACGAAAAACGAACTCGAACAATTGGATGTCTTGCCAATACACTCAAGGCTTCAGATTGACGCAATATCCGATCCTGGGTAAGTTCCGGCGGCTCTTTGCGCTTATGCGATACTGAAAGGATGGGTGATCTCAAATTGACAATGGAATCTGCCAGAAGAGGTAATTTTAGAATACATTTTTGGTATCCAAACATTTTCAGTCTAAACAAATACAAAAAGGCGATCAAAAAAGAATAGAAATTAGTAGTGGCCATTTTTACCAATTTTCGCATGTAAAATATATGTTATTCCCAGTTATTGCAACAAAACTTTGTTTACATTAACGCAGAAAGAAAAGGAAGGATTAAAGTACTAAGTGCCAATCAAACAGGTCATTTGAGGTGTACATAGAGGTTCCTGTCAGCGATGTGTTACGGCGGGTGGCTACACTATGATTATGGAACCGAAAAATCAAATATTGCTGCATTATTTATTGGACTCTAAGTAATATGATGAAATAAATGTTGGCAAACAAACTTAGGACAGTGAAAATTGGAGATGAAAAGGATTTGGGCACGTAAACAGTGGGTAAACTTGAGGAACTAGCACGGTTAAAATAGTGACTATTTTCTAAATGTGTACATATAAGATTAGAAAATTGCAAGAAAGGAAGGAAACAGCAAGTATGTTCAGCACGTAAAACCGACGCAACTAAAGCCCCAAATAATTAAAAAGCCGCCTTAAGTCCAACTTGCTTTTGAGAATTTTAATATTATTTACCATTTATTAAATGAGGCTAATGTGTAGGAATCATGATTTTTACTTGCGGAAAGTTAATGCATGTGGAAGTCATGTCAGGTGGTCCATGTATTTTTCTTAAAAAATCAGTCTAGAAATTGTTTAAGTTAACGGGGCAGAATTAATTTATTTGATATGAGGGCTAATTTTACTATAGCCAGAAATGTTAGGCGCTAAATTTATTAACTGCCCCATTACTCGTGGGTTGAAATGCCCAAATTAACCTCAAATTAATTATGCCCGCCCTTTAGTTATGCCAGGAATTTGGACGTAGAGTATTTTCTTGTGCGACGGTAATCTTCCTCTATATTCCATTTTCTATCAATACGTCGGTGAATATCTAAATTGGCTTAAGAACTCAGTGAATACAGACTACGTTTTGTTCACAAACCCCCCTAGCGGCTGGTCTCTCTCTCCACTTTCCTACGATGGACTAACTTTTCCTTTCATACAATCTTACACTGTGTTCTATAGTTTAGAATAAACCATTTATTTTATATTCCCATTCCTCGGTTTTGTGCCTAAAAATTTACCATAGCGTATGGCCAAATTTAATTGACAACCTGCAGCAACCTTTACTTCAAGTACAACGGTCGACTAGCGGAAATCAATTTAGGCAGCCAAAAGCACGTGATGCAACATTGAGTAAGTAAAGACATACTCCATATCTTTAGAGCAAATTCCGAAAAAGTGTTTATAAACAACAGAGCTGGACACAGTGTACGTGGCTATAAGTCATATTGCTACAAATGACCGCGATTATTTACCAACTATGTAAGATTTTCTATTTTCAACACCACTTAAACACATTTCGCAATTAAAATCTGGTACAAGCATACCAGTCAAAATAGTGGAGCAATCTAAAAGTACAATCTCAGTGCAAATAGTGTAATGCGCTAAAACTTCATAGGTTTATCATGGATGTCATTATTTTCTGTCCTACTTTTCACATATCCATCCTCACACCAGATTATTTATAATAATCTGGCCGCGACTTGTATTCATTAACACATGGGGCGTAAAATAAAAACATGGACAAAGTCAGAACAGAAACTGCCTAACAGATAACAATGTAAAAGTACCAGCTGATAAGACATCTTTCTAGTGAGTTTTATTGTTTGCCTAAAGGAAACCGACAATTGGAAAACATTTGAATGCATGACACATATAAAGTAGAGATAAATGACATTTGGGTCAAATAAAAGCATAGAAAATCGTTTTGTTTTATGTAAGCTAATAAAAAAAGACTGGCTCCACCGTATGCAAAAAGATAATTATGTGTATATTGACAATTTCTAAGCGAGGACCATTGGGTCAATTTAGAAGAGAACGGACTAATTTGATTTCCTGGTTTAAGCTAGATAAGGCTAACGCTTAACGAATGAGAATGCAAAAGTGAGAGCAAATATATGTGCTGAATTTATGCGATATACTTGATGGATGCTAAGCGAATAAATGCAGGGTTTTTGAATGTTTGGTCGAGCCGCGTGTAGCGTAGTGGGTTGCCGCAGCCAGCCGATGTCCCTTAGTTCCTATCGCACTCCATGATCCTAGAGTTGATTAAACTAAAACTAAATAACCTACTTAGTTTTGATTTTAAACGCACGGTTTCGTTTGCGTCCCAATATTACTTTGCTTGGGTTGTATCACTGGAGTTTTCGATCCCCATGCAATTGGGTATTCGAGATCTACCTCACATTTGAGCCAAATTAGAGTATACTCGAGGTAACATTTAGCCAGTCCAATAATCCCTTAAATGCATTTGCGTTTGCTAAAAGAAGATATTGCGTACTTTACCAGAGATTAGGGACTCTTTTGCTTATTTATCTGTGCTATTGTGAAGGTTTTATTAAAGTCCTTTATAAGTTCGCGATTCAAGTGCACGTACTCAATTGTTTTTACCGTGCAAGCATGTCTAAGGTGGGTTATCTGTGCAAAGCTCCTTGTTATGCTTACAGGTGACGCTTAAAATTTTGCATTGTTGTACTTTTTAGGTGTCCTTTCAGCAAACTGAAAAGTCGAAGCAAGTTTATGAGCTGGAATCCAAGTACGGTGCTCACAACTACCACCCGCTAGAAGTAGCCTTGTGTCGTGGCGAAGGAGCCTATGTGTGGGATGTTGAAGGAAATAAGTACCTTGATTTTCTGTCCGCGTATAGTGCGGTGAGCCAAGGTCATTGCCACCCAAAAATTGTGAAGGCCTTCATCGATCAAGCTCAACAGCTCACACTTGTCTCAAGGGCCTTTTATAGCGATGTCCTCGGCAAATACGAGGAGTACATAACGAAGTTGTTTGGATATGATAAAGTTCTTCCTATGAATACAGGTACGACTAACCTTCTTACACACATAATGGGGATGAGTTTTTTCTGATCTTAAGTCTGTTTATGTTTAGGTGTGGAGGGAGGCGAGACAGCTCTCAAATTGGCTCGCAAGTGGGGTTACCAAGTGAAGAAGATACCGGAGAATGAAGCTATTATCATATTTGCTGAAGGTAATTTCTGGGGCCGCACACTAGCTGCATGCTCGTCGTCTACTGATCCAACTTGCTACTCTGAGTATGGGCCATTTATGCCTGGTTTCAAGATTGTACCTTATGACGATATTCCTGCTCTCGAGAAGGAATTAAAGAATCCACATGTTGCTGCTTTTATGGTTGAACCAATTCAAGGCGAAGCTGGTGTTCGTGTTCCATCTGACGGATACCTTCGTAAAGTCCGCGAGCTCTGCACCAAGTATAATGTACTTTGGATTGCAGATGAGGTTCAAACCGGTCTTGGTCGTACTGGCCGGTAAGGAATCACCACGCGCCATAGTTCTCTGTATTTAAAATTTTTTTATTACACCCACTTCCTATTTTAGACGTCTCTGTGTTGACCACGAGAATGTGAAGCCAGATATCGTTATCCTGGGAAAGGCCCTGTCTGGTGGGTTAATGCCGGTATCCGCTGTGCTAGCTAATGACGAAGTTATGCTGACAATCAGGCCTGGTGAACATGGATCGACTTACGGAGGCAACCCATTGGCCTGTCGCGTCGCTATGGCTGCTCTTGAGGTTCTTGAGGAAGAGAACCTTGCTCAACGTGCCGATGCTCTGGGGAAACTATTCCGAGATTCCCTAGCCGGCTTGCCAAAGGACGTAGTCGTGTGTGTACGCGGCAAGGGTCTCTTGAATGCCATTGTTGTCGATGATAAATATGATGCTATGGATATTTGCTACAAACTACGCGATAACGGAATCCTTGCGAAACCCACTCACAAAACAATCATCCGATTTGCTCCAGCGTTGGTCATTAGCGAAAAAGAGATAAAAGAAGCCTGTGAAATTATCCACAGGGTCATTGCTACGTATGCGCGATGTTAATGCGTGTAATAAAGACCTTGGTTTCTAGTTACTGCAGTTCTTCATGGCATTGTGTTACCATCTGTTTATGAATTGAGACGTGACTGCTTTTTAATTAGGGTTGGTGGAAGTACTAGTCATTCCCGCATTTGCAAGTACACTGACGCTCCGATAATGGCGGTAAATTGTCATCTTGGACAACTAACCATGTACTTGGCACCTTGCCCAATTTTACTACGTCCTCGTGAAGGGTGGTTATCAGTGTTTTAGTGTGGGATTCTTCGTGACATGTAGTTGGTGTCTTTTGTTGTGAAAAGGTGAAAATGCGCCTCAGCCAGGCAAGCTGAATTGTAAATTCGTAAGAACCACGCCGAAATAAACTGTGTTTCCTAATCGAAGGTAGCGTTCGGGTCCATTGGTATAAGCTCATCTAAGTGTAGTAGGCACGTGTTGAATCAGTAGTGCCGAAGGTCATTGCTTCACTTCTGCCTGTCCCTTCACTGTGTTTTGCTTGACGCATTTACGTTGGATTTTGTTACTTCTAAGTCGTCCCTATTATATGGCGTTTCGGTGAATTGTTTTCACTGGTATGAGGATTCGTCTGTGGTATGTTTCGGCCTGAGTCGTCATGTTTGGGCGTGGCGAAAGTGCAATGAGTAATGTGCTAGTTGGCAGGTAGTCGATGATGTTCACCGAAGGTTGGTTCCTGTGCTGTTCCCATTTCGTAATATTGGTTTTAGCAAAGTCGGCATTTGGTCTAGCTGCTAAAACGTCTTAAAAAAACTTTTCTGACAACTTTCAAGCTGTTTTGCGAAAGCTAAACATGGGCATGTAGAGCGTTTCAAGTAAAGTGAGTACCCGGTGTCACCGCGATCGCCCAGCTATGCCTCACTACGTGATGCTCATAGTCATGGACGTCGAAGAATTGGCGGTAACAGCCAGGTTACAGACAACTAACAGACCTAGTGGTGTGAGTAAGGCAGGACCTTGGGCATGTCGGTGGGTGCTGACGACGACGGTGTACCTATGTGCAGCGAAAGTTCGATCAACCAAGCTGGACAGTTTGGTTTCAGAAGATGCTCCCTCTGACACTACCAATTGTCGATGTTGGCAATGAAGAGGAGGTTATGCACTTTGTCTCCTTTAGTAATACCTGGACAAGCACAAGTGTCAGACCCCACGTAGGGAAGACAAGCTCTGTCTTCGGGAATGTGGATGAACTCGACACGCATTGAACGTAGATAGGCTAGAAGGACATTGAGCTTGTGAAGTTGGAAGTTGGCCTGACTAGTGACCCCGATTGGAGGTCAGACGTTATGGACGGAACCAACAACCTAATTTGTCGAGCAGCGTGGAAAGTGCAGACTATAGACGAAAATCCACGGAGTCGGTGCTAGTTGACGTCCATATGCCAAATACGAGCACAAAAAGCAGGTTGATCCATCTGAAACGGAATACTCTCCCAGCATCAAGCATAATCGTTTGAGACAACGCATCTATGATATGAAAAGTGATGGGAACATGTTGGCATCAGTGCAGAAGATAGGAGAACGTAGGACTCTACTGAATGGGCTCCGTCTCATTTTCGGAAAATTTTATTTTGGCGGACTTGCCAGGAAGATTTGTTCGTACTGAACCGAGTTGTACGTAAAAAAGACTCAGATTACCCGAAACCTACAGAAAATATTTATCATTATTTCACGATAAAAAAGATATCAGTTCCCACGATCCCGAATGACCACTGGTCTCGACCGTCAGAGGAGTGCGTTAAATTCTCTACGTTGACCATGTCGCCAAAGGATGGTATTATTGATTCACTAAGATTCTATTCAATGTGCAGAAAATGACCATGAGGTGGTTGTAATCACGATCTGGAAGGCCCGCCCAGAAATGGCATGGTGAATAGTCTTTAAAGCTGCTGCCATTAATGCACACCCTCATCAGTTCGGAGAACGTCCTGTTGCCTACCTAGATAATTAAAGTAAGCGGCCTTATCAGGTCACACCAGGCCTTTGTCATCAGCGTCGGCGACAATGTAACTCACACGTGCCAGGGCAATCAACTTGAATTTCTCGGGAGGGCGATTTACGGTAGTTAGTCTAGGCACCCTACCAATGTCCGAAACCCTACGCTAACTTAGGCTTTTGCCGTGTGTTTACCGCGAGCGTCGTGTAGTCAATGCGCGCAAAATCGAACATTGTCAATTGGCCTTGGACATCTGAAATGCGATGCTTCGCTTCGGAGACTAGTCATTTGCTACCTGGTTTTATTCCAATCTGTCATAAGCTACGGTATTAGTTCAAGGCGAGTTTTAAAATGTGGTTGCTTTCGTCTGATCTGAGGATCGTTTAGATAAGGCACCTCACTAACAAAAAACCAAATTTACTTGAACTGCCAACGCAGAATGTGCGCTATTTTTCTTCCATGAAATCTTCTCCTCACTGCCCAATTGGCAGTGCATTTTCTTCACGTTCGAACTTGCCATTTCATCTCAAATTTATTTTGAATTATAAAACACAAAAGGGTGATGGTGGCCCAAGTTTGGGTATTAGCATCCTCCCAATCCAGCGCACGAGTTCGCTGCTGTATTGTGTGCTTATCTCATTGCTCGCTCACTTACGCGCGAGTGTGCATTATATAAATGTCGCGCGAAATCGTATGAACTTTGTTTTGGCGAACGTTTGTTTCAATTGGAAGAAAGGGATCACACAGGAGATTTCGATGACGGCTATTGCCACGCAGACACAAAGCCCCGAGGGCAAGTAACCGAACTCCTTGCCTATCACGTCAACGTCTTCCTCCGCACTAGTACGGAACCAAAACGCGGATGAGTCACACCTCCTCAAGCTAGGACATGACCTCGCACAGAGAGCCCCTTGCTGTCCCAGCCAAAGGCCGAGTGCACGGTGTCAGAGACAATGATTTCCGGAATCCCATGCTGATTGGAAATGGAGGACAACGCTTGCATTGTGTTGGTTGTGGTGGGGCAATGCATTGGAACGGATTCCGGCAACTTTGAGAAGACGTCCACCAACACAAGGTACGAACCTCCCTTGATAAGTCCTGAAAAATCGAAATGGACGTTGGACCAGGGCTTCTGTGCCTGTGGCCAAGGAACTGGAGAAACCTTGTTGGATTCTTGGTGACCCCTGTCTGGGTCCATGATTTGTTGCACTATTTGCGGCCACCAGCACAGCTGCAAGCGATGGTCTTTATTCTTCCGATGCTGGGGCGTCCAGAATGAAGTCGCCGAAGATCTCGCAAACAAAGAGAGGTGGGCTGTTGAATACTTAACATGTTGTTTTATAGGATAACAACACTATCTAAGTACATTTATGAAAATGCAGATGCTTTCATGGGTTGGACGAACGCAATCGTTTTGATGCAACCCAGTGATTTGACATTATCCTTAGAAATAGAAACTCGAATAGTAATAGAAACTCGAATCACTTCAACTTAACATTCGCATGGACTTGCATGAGTTTAATCTACTTTAGTTACGTGTCTGATTCAGAGAAGACACTCTGGACTCAGGCTACCGTCAAACGATCCATTCGCGTTTGTGTCCAACTTAGGGACTGTGTTCACTCCAGATAAATAAATAATGACTTTACAGTTCTGAAGCTGAACTAACTGATAGGGTAATAATCAAACAAGATTTGCAAAGTACATAGCCTTTTGGCGAACCATTGCTAATGCTGGGTAGGACAATTTTAGGCAAGCGTCCAAATGAAAAGCGCTAGATTCTGTAAAAAGCTGAATTACCCTTCACTGTCTGCGTATGAGATGAACAAACACGACTTTTAACTGCTTCTCGTTCGCCGACTTAACTCACGAAATGTCATCTGCACGTTATTCGTGTATGGAGGTATTTGCGCACGCAACGACATATCGCTTAGGTCCAGTGGGCGAACGGGCATCATTGTCGTCACTGCCTCTGGCCCTCTTACCATTCTCTGGGCTCCTTGCGAAGCACTCACTACGGCAACTACAACGTTCTCGATGGAGAGACCCAGGAAAGCTCAGTGCACACATAGGCGAATGTAAACCATTTACATCCTAAAGTGATCAACTAAGGTCCTTATGCATTTCTAAAATTTAGTAAGCACCCCCAATGTCATAGCATTGAGTGTCACCGGAACCAGTTTCGTACCTTTTACTGGCCGCGTGTATATTGATCGCTAGTATATAGTGGGGATTGTGTTATGTAGTCAAGATAGCACAATCCGAACAAATTCTTTTGTAATAACATTTGGCGATTTGAAATGCCACCGGACCCATAAGGACCCCCATTTCAATAGCCTTGTTGCAAATTACAACACATTCTATTTTAGGCAGAATACATCATAACGTGTTTTATGATGGTTTCTACACCACATTTTTTTATGTAATATGTGCGTTTAAACGACCAAACCGGGTGTGTTCTCTATTATTTATTACCAAGACCAGGCGTTTATTTATCTGAGATCGCACCGATTGCCCCACCCTTTGCTTGGTACGTGTAAATGCAAAGGCGTGGTAATGCAATATAGTCATGATTTCTAATCTAAACTAAGTCAGATTTTGCAACTTTTGCTACATTTTGGACTGTTGCTAACGCAGCATCTCGTCAGCACCTTGGCGATTTTAACGAAAGGTCACTACGTTTATCCGACTGTACCAAGCAAAGGGTGGGACAATCGGTGCGAACTCAGATAAATACGCGTCTAGTTTTGGCAATAAATAATACCGAACACACCCAGTATGGTTATGAACTGGGTTTCGAATATTGTGTTTACTCTGACGCTTCATGGTGATTAATTTTGAATTAGTTCACAGTGTAACGCTAGAAAAGATAAACGCCGTGGCTGGTAAAGTACTATAATCAGCCTAGATGTCAGCCAATTAATACGCACATTTCTTTTGAACTACCTTAAAATTCTAAAGGACGCATCATACAATGGGTACTCTACTTGGTGTACCGTCAATTCAAGACCACGTCAATGCAAAAATTGCGATGTTGCCGATCCATTCTAATTAAC